TGCAGGTCTGTAAAGAGGCGGTTGTGTCTGTCTGGGACAGGCTCGCTCCAGTCTTCGATAGATGGTCTGCAGTCTCATTCCCTGGTACTCCAGCATGGCCAGGCATCCACTGCAGCGTGACCCGGACGCTATAGGAAGTGCCCATCTGTTTTACAAGGCTGAGGATGTTCCCGTCACCTCTGTAGTCTCCTCCTCCTTCGACGGCTTGGAGTACTGACATTGAGTCAGAGAAGACAACAACATCCCCTGGTGTTACTGCGCCTTCAAAAAAGTCTTGGGCGATCTGTTCCAAGGTCTTAAGTATGGCGATTCTCTCTGCGTCATAGTTAGAGCTGTATGTTCCACATGGGCCAAATGGTTGGGTGTGCTTCTTCTCTCCAAGGTTGTTTCGATATTTGATGGTACATGTAGATCCGTACCCAGCATGCCAAATATATAATAGATGTATAGAGATTGATTCTCTATTCCACTTTTGTTGTTGAACGCTCCAGAATTTCAAAGGTGTGTAAGCAGCATACGGCTAGTGAACAGAAACCTTGCTTGTTTACAATGGCGTCTTAGAAGACGGACTTTCCCAAGATTAGAACTCTGTTTCTCTCCATGCTTCTACTAAACTTTCTCAGCAAATGTCGATGTCTATCGGAGGTGACTGGTGTGGTTTTTGCATCCTTGTTCTGAAACCAGAACGAACCGATCATGCCCCTGTAGCTGAATGCTTCGAAGTAAAATTTAGCGTTTTATCCTTTTTGTGTTGAAAATTTCTTGAACAGGATTGATTTTCTTCATATATACAAACTCGACCTCCTCATGGTTAAAGATTATTTGTAAGAATTTTTGTTGAAATTAGTGTAGAAATTAACAAACCATACCAGAGCACTCCCCAAATATCTAAAATTGTGTTGATGGGGGTGTAAAACTTGTAAGACCATATCAACAAAATCAAAGTAATTGACGAAAATTAGTAACAATTATTTCAATACTATTTATTCAACAAAATGAGGGTACAAAACACTCTGCAGCAGCAGTACAAAATGGAAGTAATGAGAGACAAAGTGTATCATCTGGATTCCAAGGTAAAAGTAGACTTGAGCCCTCAATTTGGAACATACTTGCCCTAGTACGCACACATACGCGGTTGCCACTCTCATTCGAAGAGCCACTGTGGGTCCCTATGACAACAGGGAAGAACAACTCCTTTAATTAATTTTTAAGAATGGGAGGGGGTGTCAAAATCACTTTTACCAATTCTTGGTACGAAACACTGCACAATTCAAAATAGAGGTATTGTCTGAGAGAAACAATGTCGCATCAGGATATATAATAATAATAATATATATATAAATATATATACATATATATATATATATATATATATTATATATATATATATATATAATCCACATCACAGCGGTGGGATGAGCTTGTGTGTTTAGAGAACAACCCTACTCTTGAAAAATAAGTAAAATTGCCTCATTATCACTGTGCGTCCTCTCGAGTTGAGAGCTTTCAATATTTCGCGAATCATTTGACAGGTCTTTTCCTACTTTCTATTCATCATTCCTGCGCCAGCCCTTAGACTCCAAACCTCCCAGACATGCAGTGTTGCAGCCTGTTATACATACACATACCACTATCCTACACTTTTTTCCAACTCTCTATGCCAATAGCCAAAAACCCGTCTGTTGCTGTAACTTTGGTACCCATAAAGGAAAAATTCTTTCCTAAGGACAAAATATTTTGCTCGATGAAGCCTGAAACTGCAGACTACTACTTTCTCAGTGCACGATGATGGTCCAATGCGTTACAATTTGACGTGGACCCTCAGTTTTGAACTCTCTGGATCAAGCCACTATCTTTCATTATAATAATAATAATAAATAGCATTTGTATAGCGCATGTCCCCACTCGGAAGCAAGCTTTATGCGCTTTACACTATATTATTACCCCAGCAGACCATAGAACACTCAGAAGCATTCTCAGCTTCCCGGGAAGAATGCAGTGCAAGCAGCCGTCAAGCGCTCAAACACTAACAAACTAACAAGATCTTTCACTGTCTATAGCTGGGTACCCATTCCCACTTTGGTGAAGTGGGGAAAATTCGTGTAAAGTGGCTTTCCCAAGGACACAACATCGGACCCGCGGCTCGAACCCCCGAACCCGCAACCTCACGATTACCAGTAGCCTACCTCCAGAACGCAACAGACCTTTTTCTCTCCAACACGTAAACCCTTTCTGCGTTTGCTTTTCACACACTGTCTGTCATCGTATACTTTTTCATCCTTTTGAATTGATAAACAACTTCATGTCTACTGAATTTGAAAAAAAATAATTCCAGTGGCCAACACCTCCAACAACTAATTACATTAACAACAACTGTGGTGTGGCAGAAATATGGAAACCCTTCATGTCCGCAAAGAAACATTGCCTCTATTGGGACAAAAGTTAAACACCTGTTATACTACTGTGACCAGGTGAAAAGATATCTTCGCCTTTGAGCCAGAAATTACTAGTTTATGCATGTGTTCTGTAGAATTTCAGTTTCATTTTGTACAAGCTCCTGTTTTCTCAACTGAAATTCAGAGCACCTGCCAACCACCAGTGACACATGGTGGACTATTGACAATTGTGCTGACAGGAAGAATGGAATGAAAAAGAGACAGGATGATCAAGATGTCAACAGAGAGAAGAAAAAAAGGAATAGACATCAAGCTGAGGGCTGGCTGAGTGCATGACAAATTGGACTGGTTTTAAAGCTGTTGCACATTAACCTCAGCCCTCAGATAATGCCTAAGAACATAAACATTACTACATAGATGGAGGCAACCACTTTAAAAAAAACTGAGATAGTAGTAATGTATGTGTCGGGCGTGTTGACAAAATTAACAAACTATAAATTTAAATAAGTTACATGTCATTATCACAGGAAATAAACCAATACAATGTAAAGCATTCATATGATACTTTCATACCAAACTTGGAACAGTGACTACTTTTGACTAATTTGTAGTTGTGTGTGTCGTCAGTGGCCTTTGTAAAAATCATGCACACTCTTCACTTCATACCTGCCACCCTTTGTGGTTTTAGTAAGGATTTTACGGAACTTGCAACATAAAGAGGTCAATGGTCATATATGTTAATATATATAATAAGCGAGTGTTATGACTGGTGGAATCGGGAGCTCATCAATTTTTGGGCCTGTGGAGTTAATGGTATCATCCTAAAGCTTGTTCATTTGTCTAGTTTTCGAGGAAAAAAATTACCCATCTATCTTGAATAGAAGTTGAGATCTTTGCAATTGGAGGGGATGGGGGGTCGCTTGGTTTCAGGGGTAAAATTAGCAAGAAATGGCCACCAAAGTTTGGTGACTTGCAAAACTTGAGAGTCAATGGAAATTAAAAATCCACATTTTTTTTTTCAAGTAAAATCCACAAAGAAATGTATTTTCAAATGGACATAAAAGGTGTTGAGCCCCCCCCCCCCCCCCCCAATTTTGATCAAAATATGCCAAACCGGCGGAAAGATTTTGATTTCTTTGATTTCATTATTTTGACGAGCACCTGATTTCACCACAACACAACACAATAAGTGTTGAAAATTAGAAGTATACTTTGAGAGCAATGTACAAAGAAGAGAAGGAGAGACAATAAGGATGACGACAGAATGTTTGACACGAAAGACGGATCAAACCACATCGGAGCACCCACCAACCATCCACATACATGCCTCCATCTACAATCAGTATTCACAGAGATACAGATAGTTTTATTTCTGGCACACAGGTACAAAACAGAGGCAAGGCGAAAATGTGGGAAGACCTCCCAGTCCTACATCATACTCGCACATTAAAAATGTAAGATCCAACAGTGGTCTGCCATTTCAGGAAATAACAGATTAAAGCAGGGACAGCGAAGACAGAGGTCTCAGTTTAGTTTAGGAAGGGGTTTTACGGCGCTCGCAACTGCAAGGTCATATGAGCACCCGAAACACAAGTTAGTTTTTTATTCGCAGATCGTTGTAGGGCTGGACACGAGTCAGTAGTTAGATCTTAAAATGTTAAACTATTAAAAATCCGGTGTAAATATATATTTTCAATCTAAAACAACCTTCCTAACATGAAAAAAAATTTGTATAATTCAATTTCACTCTATAATTTCCCATAATGGCCAATGGCCTTCATAAAATCCAAAATTCTGTTGGGATCAACGACGGAAAAAATGTCTTGCAATTTTTTGCATTTAAAGTATTTCCTTCGGGTCTCTCCAAAGTCTAGACATTCGGTTAAAATGTGTCCAATGGTAAAATCTGTGACGGAGGTCTGTAGTGGCAAGGAGCTGGAAACCAACAGCCATTGAGATGACAGTTGCTTGACAGATGAGGTAGAGAAGTGCATGTACAATCAAACCCAAAGATATTTAAAATAACTACGAGCACACATTAAATATATGTGGGGACCAAGTGAAATCAGTGCAACAGTTTATAGTTAAACAGAACGCCTCAATAAGGTTAAGTGACCTTGTAAAACAACATACATTATCATATCAAAAGTAATGAAGCGGGTGGTTTGAAGGGATGAATGGCACCTCCTATTTCTTTTATTTCCTATCGAGATCTTTCTGTCTATCCTGCTTTTCCCCCAACACTAAACGGACATTATCACGTTAATAAGTATTTTTTACTTCAACCACGATAAAGACACAACTGAACACACCACAGCCTCCCTTTATCTCCAGTTTGCGACAACATATATGGGGTAAAAAACCGTCAGCAAGCTGTTCAGTTGTTTTACGCCTAGCGTGTACAATTTTTCGGGGGGGGGGGGGAGAAAAAAAACATTTATTCTTTTCACAATTATACTGCATTTTTTCAACAGTAAGAATTTGACTATTAGCAAAATATTACTGAAGCACACTATTTTAACTTATTTTAAAAGAAACTGCACTTTTTTTAAAAAATCTTTAATTAATCAGAATTTTAGGCCAAATACATCTGAACAGCTGGTCAATGAAAAATATGGCCACTCAGAATAATAAGATGAGGAATGTTCAACAAAACGGAATATGATTTCCCTAGTTCGATTTCACTGATGCTAAACGTAACAATAAGTGTAACATTATTGGCTATAGATGGAAAATCACCCATTATTGAATTGGCAGATGCTGCTAGTAGGTTCTATTTCTTTACTTTCAATTTTTTTTTTTGGTCCTGTATCTTACTTTTTTCCTTTACAGTAAGTGACTGTTACTGTTATAGGGACCTTCTGCTTCTCCTTATGAAAACATAGACGAAATAGTTCACAAAAAGGAAAAGTTCCTTTCTGACAAAGGAGGCCCACAGAAGTATGATACTGTGTAAGACGGCCACCTGCTTAAGACAGCCCTTTTTCTCCTCACCATGGTTGGCCATCTGACAATTTCGACTGTATTATGTTCTCAGTATTACCTGCATGACAGGCCACATGAGATATGTGAAAAAAATCGACCTTAAAAAAGTGTGGCTGGTGAAATCTCTAGCACAGTTCACTGGATAATGCGTTTAGAGAGAGAAATATCTCGTACACAAAGACTATGAGCAAATATTGTTCTAAAGAAGTCCTTGCCAACCCAGGCGATATTGACAGTGGGTGATTTGGTCATTATCACGGACGGTGGGACCACCCAGGCAGAGACAGATACTACATAGCACCCAGCAGGGAACAGGCCAACATATTTATAGGTGGTACGAAAACATCAGCCTCTTAAAGATGGCAGAGTGGTGCTGGACATAAAAAGGTTGACAAGCACAGTTCTAAAAGAACCTAATTGAGAAATAGAACAAATGTCCTTCCCAGCACCTGTGGCAACATCTACAAAATTGAATATCTATTTCTTAGGACACTTGTGTTAGAGAGGGAACTGTCTTGCAGCGCAGCGTACCATATTTGTTATTACTGGCTTATCATGTATTGTAAGACTGAACCATCTTGCATCTTTGGTACTACTGAGATACCCTCTGCTAAACGACTTGATGAAACAAACTTCAGGATCAATGCAGTAGTAGAACTTTCATTCTTCTGTTCTCACCAAGACAGTTTTTGAAAAGTGTTAGAACAACACTTCAATCAGTTTGCATCGAAGATGGGAGTATGAGAGAGTAACACTTTAGGCTAGGAAACATATTCTGACAAAAACACCTTGCACCCCAGACCAGATCAAACTCCCTCTGCACCTTGTTAACAAATAAAAAACACAATAAACTTCTTCTCCCAGTCTTCTACATTTACCACCAAACACGTCAAAACTTCATGCACTTTCCCTCAAGTCACACACACACACACACACACACAGAGCATACCATCGTCTGAGAGCCAGAAGTGACTAAATCCACTCTGGTCTAAACTTTCAAAAAGAGCAAACTTACAGCCTTCAAACGACATTCCACGATGTTTGAAAACATCTCATCAACCCGCCCAATAGTTCTGCCACAACTGCTCTTCCGTGTGAGTCCACATCCAAGAATTTGTGTTTACACCTTGCAATGAATCAGAGGTGCAAACCGGTCATCGAAAAGAAAATCAGGAACTTTTTGGATCCTGCGGAAACACGCAGGCGGGGACTCAAAGTTTACGGATCGTATTATCTACCAGTAACACCTTGCATCAAGAAAATACGGCTGAAGTCAAGCAGAATTCGGTACATTTTCAGAAATCCAGACTTCCCAGATTTATCTGGAAAATCTGTACCTCGGATAACAATCCAGCTGTCTCAAAACAAGTTATTTGGACACAGTCGCCTCCAGCTCTCAACCGACGGTCTAGAGAAGTGACATCATCTCTGCTCCAGATGGCGTGTGTTCTCGTCCATCTCCAACATCAGAGCCCCCACCAGGTTCTCAACAGTTGGCGGTTTACCCAGCATGTCTGTGAAAGGAATTGTACGTATACCATAAAACACTTGTTTTTTTTTGTTTAGTTTTTATTTTCAATAAAAGTTTTTAGTTTAGTTTGAGTAGAGGTTTTACGGCGCTTGCAACTGCATAAGGTCACATAAGCGCCAGAAGATTAGAGGTGTTACAAGAGAGTAACAAACATAAAAAAGAAAAAGGGGAGATAAAGACGATAGATGTTTGATAGGAAAGAAGAAGCAAACCACACCAGAGCACCCGCCAACCACCCCTAATGAAAGTTTTACAGCACTTGCAACATAAAAGGTCATGTAAGAGTTGACGATTTACAGCTGTTACTTGAGAGTGACATACAAAGGAAAGACGGAGAAGAGATCAGGGATGATAAATTTTTTTAGGAAAGGAGGAAACCACGCCAAAGCACCTGCCAACCACCCATGCATGTCTCTTGTTCGAATGCATGGCACTGCAATGGCCATATGGGGCAAGGAAAAAAGAAAGAGAAAATCTCTGGTGCTAATGCTATTAACCTTTTCGCTGGTGTGCCCGTAGAATTTATGGGCCTGAGTCGTGTAGCGCTGTGCCTATGGCCCGTAGAATTTACTGGACTGTGACAGAGGTTGTTTTGATACTAATTATAAGGGAAGCTACTGCTAAAATCTTGTAATTATTATATAGGCACCTTAAATTCCCTTTATGTTTACCACCATCTTTCCCCCCCCCCTCCCAAATATTATATCAATCAGAAATGTGGTTCCATGTAGAATGAACACGCAGAAATTCATGAGGAAAGTAATTTTTTTTAAAGTTATGGGAGGTGGAGTGGGGTCACCCCTGAGCAGCCTTGGTTCATGGGATTTCCCCCGGCACAGGGGCCTATTTACCGGCAGCATTGAAGGGGTTAATCAACAATCAACAGAACTAAGCTACCCACAAGAGGCTGCAGGAAAAAATATGTTGAAAATCTATTTCTTGTACTAAAGAGTCCTATCTGAGAAGGTACAAAAGTGGAAAAACAGCATTAACAAACTGTATCTACTTTTATCATGTATAGTATTTCAGTTTTAAAAATGATGAAGTTGAAATCCCAAATGTGAGATGAAAGAAATTGGCTGTAAATATGAAAATTTTGCAGACGTGCGATTAATGGATTCAAAGTCAAAGAGTTAACCCATATCCTCTCAAACTGCTGATTTGCTGCTCATGTCTGCAAACAATTTTTTAGTGAAAAAAAAATCATTGTGTGTTATCACAAGCAGCTAAAAAATCAAAACAACAGACATGTTAAAGTTTGTTTTTAAATGTTTTCAATTTTTAAAAAAAACACTATAAAAAAACACTAAGGCCTTTTTGAAGCGGAAAAATTCAAAACCAACTCATGAAAACTACAGCACAATTTAGGAAAACAAGACAAAGAATACAAGCTGAAAAGTTACCTTGCACAATCTGTGCTGGGTGTTTCTCTCCTCCATGAGCCAACATTTCCTCCCTGTATCGAGTTCCCATGGTCCTGAAAGTGACAATGAGGAAAAACATTTATATACATATATATATGTGAGGCTGCAGGGTGAAATCAGGAGCTCGTAAATATATTCAAAGTGAAGAAACTAGCATTTTCCAGCAGGTTTGTAAATTTTCATCGAATTTTTGTTTTCTGACTCAACACCCTTCATGCCCATTAACTCATTGCTGACACGTCTGACACATTTGTCAGACAGGCTGTTTTATGATAGTCGACGCATGAGACAAATGTGTCCGTCTAATTTTTCAGATTCTTATGGTACACATCCTAAGGGATACAAGTCCGATAACTAGGGAAATAAAAGTTCAGCCATTTTAATACATGTCAATATCCCTTTGACCGTTGACTAGTTGAACTGATGCTGTTTTTCGAAGCCTTTTTGTTCAAGTCATAAGCGCATTGAGTAATCAAAAGTATAACCGAAAATGGCAGCGTCCAGGATAAGTCTAACGATTTTCAAACAGCGTCCAGGAGAAGTCTAACGGTTTTCGATGCACTTGAAATTGTGATGGAAGATGGATCTGATGAAGAAGACGGAGTAGTTGTTGTTGATTTAGACAGTGAAGCTCGTAGTCCTTTAGCAGACAATGGTACTCCTGATCCAGATGATGAGGAAGAGATGGGTCTACTTAATATACTTATGCC